CAGGAGGGTTTGGACAACGCTCTGAGGGACAGGGTGGGATCGTTGGGGTGTCTGTGCAGGGCCGGGGCTTGGATTCCATAATCCCTGTGGGTCTCTTCCAACTCAGAGCGTTCCACGCTTCTAAATACCAACTTCTGAGGGCTCATTTTCATCCCTCCCACATGATTTGAGCTGACCAGGCTGGCTGTGGCCCTTGTTCCCCCCAGATGCTGCTGCAGATCGCCGATGACTTCATCGAGAGCGTGGTCACCGCCGCCTGCCAGCTCGCGCGGCACCGCAAGTCCAACACCCTGGAGGTCAAAGACGTCCAGTTGCACCTTGGTGAGTGAGTTTTACCTGTGTTTTTTCCCCCTCAGCTGAGACCCAGGGTTGCACTTCCAGAAGTCAGGCTGTGGTGTTGGGCTGGGTAGAGCACCGCTGCCCGTGGCAGGGGGTTGGAACTGGATGAGCTCTGTGGTCCTTCCCAACCCAAAGCCTTCTGTGATTCCAGAGCGCCAGTGGAACATGTGGATCCCGGGCTTTGGTTCTGAAGAAATCAGGCCCTACAAAAAAGCCTGCACTACAGAAGCTCACAAACAGGTAAAGGAGCCCTCACAACGCTGGGAATCACGTGGCTGGTACGGGGAAGGTGGTGAAATTGTGGCCTCCTCCAAGTGGTTTGGGCTTGAAATGACTCCCAGAACCTCCTGGCCTGTTAGTGCAGAGAGGGTTGAGGTTGCTGTGGCTCCTCTGTAGTGCTGACTGTGCCCTAAGAGCACAAGTCTGAGGGCCAGCCCAGCTTGGGAGGGTTAAAACCAGCTGGGAGCTGCACACAGGCACTTCTCAGCTGCCCCTGGCAGATTTGTCTCTGTCTTTGTGCAAAGGGACTGAAAACACCTTTAATTTTGCTTTAAACTGAATTAATCCATTGCTTTTGAAGTGCACAGTCAGAGCCAGGAAGGAGCTGGAGGGTTCCTGGGTGATGCTGCAGCTCCCACTGGGCACAGAGGGGGGGCCTTGAGGTGGGGTTTGATCCCACTGCCCCGGGGTGCCGAGTGGAGCAGCACAGACACTTCCTTCTCCTCTGGCTCCAGCCTGGGACCCCATTAGGATTCCAGCAGACCTGACAGACCTGTGTGGGAGCAGGTCAGGCAGCGTCCCCAGAGCATCTGGGATGCCTCTCTCCTGCACGGCTGCAGCTGGTTTGGGCAGTCACCTGCTCTGAGCTGCTCAGCTTCCCACATTTTTCCCTTTCCTTGTTGCAGAGGATGGCACTGATCCGCAAAACCACCAAGAAATAGCCCCTGGGCAGAGCTGGGAGACGCCGCCAGTGCAGTTTGGGATATTTTGCCTCTCCACTGAAGCCTCCACGATGTCACCCGTGGGATGTTTTTTTTTTTTAGTGCTTTACAGAGAAGCATCTATTTTTTATTAATGGTGCAGCAATATCTTGACTCTACGAGGAGATCTGCCAAAAACACTCTCTGCCCCTTTCCTTGTTCCTCCTCAGAGCGCGACGTGTCTCAAGGAGAGACTTTTATTTGTGACTTGAAAGTGGTTTCTCGTACAAGTGATTGATTACCCAAGGGACAGAGCGTTTGGTCGTGTGTGGGACAGTATTAGAAGCATCTGTAGAGGTTTTTGTTTCCTCCTTCCTGCTCCAGTACTTTGTAATGTCAGTGTTTATATAAATACTTGCGTTTGTTTTACATGAATAAAGAAATTATTAATCTAAGCTCCTGGCACGGGCTCGTGCTCTTCAGGCAGCACTGCAGAGGGGTGGCAGGGGTTGTGTCACTGGTGGGAGTTCTCCTGGGGATTTAAAGGGAGCAGAATCATGGAATATCCTGAGCTGGAAGGGACTCACGAGGATCATCCAGTCCAACTCCTGGCCCTGCACAGACACCCCAACAATCCCACCCTGTCCCTCAGAGCATTGTCCAAACCCTCCTGGAGCTCTGGCAGCCTTGGGGCTGTGCCCACTGCCCTGGGGAGCCTGGGCAGTGCCCAACCAGCCTCTGGGGGAAGAACCTTTGCCTGAGATCCACCCTGAGCCTGCCCTGACACAGCTCCAGCCGTTCCCTGGGTGCTGTCCCTGGTCCCCCAGAGCAGAGATCGGAGCTGCCCCTGGGGAGGAGCTGCAGCCCCTGCTGAGCTCTGCCCTCAGTCTGCTCTGCTCCAGGTTGAGCAACCCAAGTTCAGCTTCTCCTTCTGTGGCTTCCCCTCCAGCCCCTTCTAGACCAGAAGGATTTTTGCTTTTGACTCAGGCAGGTCCTGAGCCAGAGTGATAATCAGATATTACCCGAGTTACATAATAAATCTTTTATTTCTAATTGTATTTGGGAAGATTTAAAGAATTTAGGGCTTTATGATTTGGGACTTGGTCAGTACAGGAGAGAGAGGAGGGGAATGGGGTGACACCCACCTCTGCTGGTGCCTGAAGTCTCACCTGGGCATTCCACCCTTTCCAAGAGCAGCCTAAGCACTGCTGCTTCCCCAGGAAACACAGGCAGGCAGAGGGATGACCAGGGGTGTTTAGTGCTCCCATGCTGCTCCTTCCTGCTGCATCTCTGGGATCACTGTGTGATGGCCAAACCTGCACAGCCCCATGATTACAAAACAGTTACCCAGCAGGCAGGGAGCACCAAGAGCTTCCTGCAGCTGAAGGAATGAGAGCTCCCCAGTCCCTGCAGCCACAACCCTGGAGCTCTCCTGTCTCTGCTGCCATGTCCCGGGAGCTCTCCTGTCCCTGCAGCCACAGTCCTGGGCACGTTGATCACTGGAATGTGCAGAGGACGAGCCATGCCTCAGGGTCCTTGCAACATTCATTTTATTTTATTGCTACTTTATTTCCCTGTCCTTTCGAAAACCGCTCCATTAACCACCAGATCTCCCACACTGAGCCCTAAACTGTTAAAATTAGACCGTTTAACAATTACAGTTAATTACAGAGAGCACTTGCCACCCTGTCCTGGCAAGCCGATGTGCAGCAGGGAGGGGGGGGCACATCCCAGCCCGCCCCAGCCCTCGTGTCCCCAGCTCTAGCACGAGCACCTCTTCCTCTTCTCCTCCTTCTCCGCCAGCCGAGCTTTGGGCGGCACGGGCAGGGGGACGCTGCTCTTCACCCCGTCCCACGCCTCGCCGGCCGCCAACCTCCCCGTCTGCAGCGCCTGGTAGATGGCCACCGTCAGCATCCGGAACGCCAGCGCCACGTTGGAGGCGTCCTTGGCCGAGGTCTCCACGTACTGGGCGCCCAGCGAGGCCGCCAACCTCTCGGCCTCCCTGCGGCCCACGCGGCGCTGCCCCGCCAGGTCGCTCTTGTGCCCCACCAGCAGGAAGACGACGCGGGAGGGCTGCACCGTGTCGGTCACGTCGCGGTGCCAGCGCCGCACGCTCTCGAAGGACGCGCGGTTGGTGAGGTCGAAGAGCAGCATCCCCCCGGCGGAGTTGCGGTAGTAGGAGCGAGTCACGGACCTTGAGGCCGGGAAAAGGGGGTGAGCGGCCCCCCCAGGGTCGCCTGTGCCACCTCGGGCTGCAGCTCCCCCGCCCGAAGTACAGGGAGAGGGTGGAGAATTGGCCCTTTGGGTGCGTCAGGGAGGGCCCCAAGGGAGGCTCTGTCCCTGCTCGGCCACCAAAGCCTGTCTGTCCCCCGCAGCCACAGTCCCCAGGGCTCCCCCAGCCCTGTAGCCATGGTCCTGGAGCTCTCCTGTCCCTGTAGCCATGGTCCTGGAGCTCTCCTGTCCCTGCAGCCACAGTCCCCGGGGCTCCCCCAGCCCTGTAGCCATGGTCCTGGAGCTCTCCTGTCCCTGTAGCCATGGTCCTGGAGCTCTCCTGTCCCTGTAACCATGGTCCTGGAGCTCTCCTGTCCCTGCAGCCACAGTCCTGGAGCTCCCTCAGCCCTGCAGCCATGACCCAGTGCTCCCCCATTCCCGCAGACACGGTCCTGGAGCTCTCCTGTCCCTGTGAGCTTTCCCACCCCTGCAGCCGTGGTCCTGGAGTTTTCCCTCCCCTTCAGCCGCAGTCCTGGAGCTCTCTTACCCCTGCAGCCACATCTCCTGAGTTCCCTTGTCCCCAGCAGCCACTTGGCCAGCAGTGGCAGCCACACAGTGAGGTGTGAAGGCTCCTGGCATCTGAGCCGTAAACCACTTTGGGAAACCACTTTGCCCAGCTCCCAGTGGGCTCCCAGCTTCTTCCCCAACCCCTCTGCAGCTGTGGGACAGAGGAGTGCTTGGAGCAGGGCCCACCCCCCCTTTAGAGCTGAACCAAGTGCTCCTTTCCCTCGGCTTTGGCTGGTTCTTCACACAGGGGGCTCCCCCACCAAAGGGACCAGCGGGAACACAGCCCCATCCAGGACCTCCCTGGGGTCGGGATCACATCATTCCACCCCAAATCCAGGGTGGGACACCCACCTCCCTCACCCCTCCCCACCCCACGGACCCACCTGAACCTCTCCTGCCCGGCCGTGTCCCAGAACTGCAGCTTCACCCTCAGCCCCGGCTCCAGCTCCACGAACTGGACGTAGAAATCCACCCCCACCGTCTGGTTGACGGCGTCCAGGAAGGTGCCCTCGGTGTAGCGCCGCAGGAGGGAGGATTTCCCCACCGTGGAGTCCCCCAGCATGATCACCCGGAACTGGTACTGCCACCGCGGCTCCATCGGTGCCTCCGCCGGTGCCGGGCCCCGCCGCCCCCACGCCGGGCGCGTGTCCGGGCAGGCAGGGAGCTCCTCCACCCAGGAGGCGTTCCCAGAGCCGGGGGTGCTGGTTTGGAACCCCTTCGTTCCCTTCATTTTGACTCCATCCAGCTGGATGTGGTTCCTGGTCCCATTTTCCCAGGGGTGGCCCCTTTGGAGCCCCTTCACTCCCTTTATTTTGGCTCCATCCAGCTGGAACCACTCGGGTGTTCCTGCTCCCATTTTCCCAGTGGCAGG